TCCAGGCTATCGCGCATGTCAGTATTTGTTGTCCATGACCAGAGCGATGTTTCAAAGGTAAGACATACTTCCAATGCAAAAGTTTCCCAAACTGTAAACCCACGCAAACTTATTCATCATCGCACACTCCTGTGCATTACCGTCTTGCTTCCACAGCTTCCACAACCAGACCAGCTGGAAGATTTGTTGTGGGAAGAAGAATGCGCCGATGAAGTACGGGTATGGACTGAAGGCGGCAAGGTTCCGGTTATGGATGTCCATCATATTGGGCGACGAAAATATGCCATATTGTTGCAATGCAAAATCATAGATGAAAGAAGCCGGCGCAAGATACCGCACTGTGGATTGTGTATTGCCCATGCTGGCGGCTGTGATAAGATTCGAGACAGTGGTGGTGAAGGTAGAAGAACGGTCACGTGTATGAACGCGATGCAGAGATACGGGATTGCAGATGCGGGATAAGATTGAATGCGAAGGTGTGGATGCTATTGTCTTTGTACCATCTCAAATCGCGTGTGTCGTGAATCGAAGACGTCATTCCATAGAACGCGATCTCACCTGCAGGGTCCAGCTCCCGATGCGGCATGAACATCATCTTCATCATCGTGATGTCGGTACCCGGCGGAACGCTTCGCACCGACTACAACTGCATTAACGTCTCGTATCGTTTCGGCTTCGGCGTTCTTGCCTCGGAACCCCCGACATTGGACGTATGTATCGCAGATGCAAAAGCCTTAATTTTGCTGCCATGTCTATTGTCGACAATGTCTAGAGCTCGTACTTCAATCCGTTCTCCTCGCACAACTTCCGCAGACAATCATCTTCAGCCTCACCAAGCCACTCCCTATCAATTGCGACATATATCTGCTGGAGCTGGGGGGATGAAGCTCCCCAATCGCCTTCAACAAAGTCGTTCAAGACCGATGTCAACTCTTCCGCGCCCCAGGCGTCGCCAAAGAAGTCATCGGTAAAGCAGAGTTTCTTCATGCTTGATGGAATGGATTCCTCTAGCCTGGGCGCAGAGAAAGGTCTGCAGCCTAGTAGTACGGCTGGCGGGAGTTGAAGGGAGGAAAGCACAGGAAAGTCGTGAAAATTACACATGCCGCTTACGAGGCTGTCTTCATACACGGTAGGCGATTTCATTTGAGAGACAAACCTCAAATGTTCCAAGGTACTTTTAGCGACATTAAAGGCTGCGCTGAGCGACCCACAGTCCAGCGAGTCTTCATGGGTAGTCCAGTATTCGTAGTCCAATGTTTTGAGGGCAGGTGTATAAGACAGCAGTTTGGCCAGTGTGTCTGGCGTCACGGAAGACTCGTAGAGCCTCAAAGTCGTCAGCTTTGAGCAGAGAGGTGAAAATTCCATCATCTGGAATCCCTCGTGAGCAACCTCATCCATCAAATTCATCTCGATGGTCTGGATTATCGGACACCAGAAGAAAGCCCAATACCCCCTCCAGTCTAGATGTGGATGTAGCCAGTCAATCCGACTCCACATGTCAGATTCTTCTTCGTTCTCATCAATAATACGCGTATATCCCAAAGTTATCTTTCGAAGGTTGCCACATCTTGGAAATTGTTTTGTGCCTTCGATGGAAGGTACGGACCATAAGAGCCTAGGGATAAATACTACGTCGTCGCCAATGTGGAACCCTAGATGAAGCGACGCGAGATTTGAGCATGTACATATGAGCAGCGCGATCGTAGCATCCAGGTCGTACATCAAGACCGCATCATACCAAGACTGATGGCTAACTGTAAAAGCGTCTGCATGCCCATCGCGCTGTCTTCCTAGTCTTACGCCGTGTACGGCGTCCATGGCTAACCGCTGCTTCTCAATCGTCCAGTCCCTGGCAGCATCAGGTCTCCGCTTCACTAATGGCTTCCGTCTTCGCGGAAGGACACCCCAAGTCGACCAATAACCCCTAAATCCCGTACTCTGCAATTTGAGATGGGTGATGGATTGCGCATATCTAGGTTTCGCCAAGATTGTTTGGAGGAGCAGGTTGGGACGGAGGGATTGTGCTGCATGCTGACTGTCAACAGTCAGAGGGCGGGTTGTATCGCTGGCTTTCCACGTCAGGCTGATGTGGTTGTAGAGTCGCTCTATTGTCTTTATGTGCAGGGCTTTGCAGCTCTGAGAAAGGTTTGAGATGTCTTGAGGTGAAGGAAGGTCGCCGATTATATAATCCAGAAGCTCCTGTGGAAGCTGAGTTAGCGGACATGCGCTATCCGAGGGGCGCATGATGAGCTCTTGGGAATATTGGGCAGATAGGTAGTAGATTTTTTGACGAAGATGGTGTTCAGATATAGGGCCGGAGTTTGTGGCCTTGTTAATGCCGAGATCTATGTCTTCCAGCCCCTCGACTCCTCGATCTTTCTGCCTCTTTCGAAACGACACTGCATCAACACACCATGGTTACAACACGAGCCCGAAGCGCTCGAGAAGTAGCTCTAAGAGGCTGGAAGGGAAAGCAAGAAAATAGAAGGATACACATCGCGACTAAACAAGAAATCATTTACCAGAGTCTTGCTATAGTCACGCTGCAGCCACATATAGGCGCAGGAGGGTTAAGTGTAACAACTATGAATGAGGATGTATTGGCGAGCTGTTTAAGAGGACATCAAAAAGATGAATAGGTATATAATAACATAGTTCGCGTGGGACGTGTCCCGATGATCAACCTATTCAAGTCGACAATGCGCAAAGGCATCGGAAGGCTAATGATGGTAGGTAAAAGGGCGGATCAGGAAACCCGCGGAGTGGTGCACAAGTACCGGTATTTCCTTGCTGGCATAGTACCTTCCACGAGCGCTATAGGATATCAGGATGCAGAACTGGAAGAAGGCTCAACTATCTTAGCGTCGGATATATGACTCGTGTATTTTTCCATTAGCGTTCCCCGCATGTACGCCCGCACGCCATGGACGGGCACTACGAGTTAGGATCGGGTGGCACAAACCATGCCTCCGACTTATGCAGAGATACTCCGATATTTTTGCGTGTAAGATGGGGCAGCTTCCAAGCATGTGATGTTTAGTTGCTCATGTCTCGCTCAGTCGTTTCACGTCTGCTTCTCCTCTCCTCTCCTCAACTTCTATTGCACCACGCAGGAGCACTCTTTTCTCCTTCTGCAACCTCTCTCCTTAAACTCAAGCCTTCCGCGGTTGATAAGACTATCACATCATGACAGCAATGTCAATCCCACACCTTCGCAAGACCAAAACCTCAAGCCAGCTCATCGTCAATGGCGAACCTTTCCTCATGCTCAGCGCCGAGCTGCACAACTCCACATTAAGCTCAGCAAAGTACATGGCCGATGACAAGATATGGCAGAACATGCGCGCAATGTACATCAACACGCTGCTCGGTTCCGTATCCTGGGAACAGATTGAGCCTGTAGAGGGTCAGTTTGACTTCTCGAACCTTGATGCTGTGATTTTGGCGGCGCGCGAACACGGCATCAAGCTCGTGCTACTTTGGTTCGGAAGCTTCAAGAACGCGCTCAGTACATACGTACCCGCTTGGGTCAAGAAGGATGTAAAGAGGTTCCCGAGAGTACATGCGCTGGAAGCAGGAGGCAAGCGGAGAACGCTGGAGCTGTTAAGTCCATTCTGTGAGGCGGCATGGACGGCTGATGCAAAGGCATTTGCGAAACTTATGGCCCATCTGAAGGAATTTGATGGACAGCATAGTACTGTGCTGATGGTGCAAGTTGAGAACGAGACTGGCTTATTGGGCGATTCTAGAGATCGCTCAAAGATTGCCGATAAGAAGTTCCAGGAGCCCGTACCGAAAAAGCTGCTTGAACACCTGCAGTCAAACAGTGCTCGATTACACCCAGAGTTTCAGAGACGGTACAACGTCAGCGCAGCTAAAGCAGGCGAAACATCATGGACAGAGCTTTTTGGTGCTGACGACATCATCAACGCTAATGAGATGTTCATGGCAGATGCTTACTCAAAGTACATTCACCATGTCGCATCCGCTGGCAAAGCCGAGTATCCGATACCTCTGTATGCCAACGTCTGGCTGAACTTTGACAACCCTACGGATCTCGATCTTACCGACATACCAGTTGTAGTGGGTGGCGGAGAAAAGGCCGGCATCTACCCATCCGGCGGCCCATGTCCGCATACAATGGACGTCTACACCTTCAATGCCCCCAGCCTAGACTTCATAGCACCGGACTTGTACTTTCACGACTACGAGATGACCTGCCAAAACTACAGACATGGCGGTCAACCACTGTTTATACCCGAACAGAGGCGTGATGAGAAAGGTGCGCGACGGATCTGGAGCGCTTATGCCAACTACCTCGCGCTGGGATGCTCTCCGTTCGGTATCGATTCTCTTGCAGCATCCGAAAGCGCTTTCACAAAGCACTACGGCTTGATCCATTCATTGCGAAAGCAGATTCTGGAAGCGCAGGCGAACCGGCCTGAAGATATGATGGGCTTTTTCTTCGACGACTTTGTCGATGGCCAAAAGATCAGCGAGAAACCTCGAACAAAGACTATGGGAGGCTTCCAGGTCATCATAGAACGTGCATTCGTTTTTGGTAAGCCGGGACCTGGAGCAGGTATGGTCATACACCAGGGGGACGGGAAATTCCTGTGCGCAGGCTGGGGCTTCAACCTCTCCTTCAAGAGCGCCAACCCCAAGTCAACTTTCACCGGCATATTACACGCAGAGGAGAAGGAAGTAAACCCTGAGACCTGCGAGCTGTCGACGCTGAAGATTCTAGGTGGTGACGAGACAAGAAGTGGCGAATTTTTGATCATGCCGAACGAAGACCCCGACTATGGAGGTTTTCCCATCGCAGTGACCATCCCAGCCAGAACATGCATTGCCGAGTGCTGGGCATATAGCCTCGAAGAAAGTGAGGAGGACTTTTGAACACCCTACATGATAAACAGCTAGCATCTTGCGACATAGATACTCTCAATAAAATTATATCGCAGGCCACTCACTCCTGTTACGCTACAGAGAGCATAAATTCAGACATATGGTGTTTGCACCGCAACTCGTTGATCTAGGCTCTCCAACTTCGCTAAAAGCTTATCCAAATTTATGCTTGCTTGTAGAGTGGTGCCTTGCGATCCGGTTCGCAGCTCATCCAGAAGAGCGCCACCAATGTCTCTAATTTTCGGCACAATACTATATCCGTTAGCATCAAATACCTCTTCTGGCATGTTGTATAGGACATCGAGCAGCTCGTCCACCACGCGATGTCGCTCATCGATGATAGTGCCCGGGGTGACTCGCATATTTTGGTCCTTGGCCAAAGTGTTCATCTGTTCAAGCAGGTTGGATCGAATGTGCAGTTGCGTAACCTTGAGATTGACCTTTTGCACATTGAAGGCGAACTGTCCAACGGCATGAGGCGGTCGCCACGCGAGTTCTGGGGGCACGTCTTCAAGCAATTGCTGAGCGCGCATGATGTGCTCATGTAAATTATTCATAGTTTGAGTTGTGATCGCTTGGCTGGAATGCCATACCATGAAGAGCCTGGAAAGTACGTTGAGTCCCGGGACATACGAAAAGCACGGACCGGTGTCTTCAGCGGAGCTTGCGTCAGCACCATGTAGTAACTGTATGTCGCTAATTTCCAACGGAATTAGATGACCGAAAGCTTCATGCGCATGACGCAGCACCAGTAGCTGTCTGCCATGCATATCGCAGGTGCACTGGCCGGCATAAATCAGCCAGTAAAGGCGCTTGAGGGTTTGCTGATCCATGAATGACATTCGCTCGAAATTCTCATGGATGAGGTACTTGATGCCGACCGAAGTGTCAGCAAAGAGGCGGTAGGTCAGCGGAGAACCAAGGCCGTGCTCATGGTTGACAGCGCTGGAAAAATTGTACAGCGCCAGTGTTCTCTCTAGTGTGATCTCGCTGCTCACGCTCCACATTCTGAATCGTTCAGCCAGATCCAGACACGCTTCTACCGATAATTCCCCGTAGAGGTGGCGCCGCCTACGAAGGCTAGCCACAGTGGCAGCGCAGACTGATACTACTAGCAGGAAGAACGCCGTCGAGCCGTCATCCTCGGATATTCTTTGCATGAACAGAGTACGATGAAAGAGCGGAGCTACAGGATGAATCCAATCGAACCAGTCAGTCGTAATCTGTTGGATAATGGCAGGCGGTGCTATGAGTCCCAGACACGGTTGCTGAGGTTCGCTCTCGGCTGCAAATGTGCCATTGCCGTCAAGGCGCGCCCGCAATGAGTGCACATATCGGTTCTTTGGTCCTCTCTTTTTCCGCGGTCTCATACTTGTACACTCGATATTGAGCTCAGTACAGACCGAGCATTTTGATTCACTGGTCGACGCGACGCACTGGTGATGTCAGGCTGCGAATCTACCCTGAACCAAGTATTCCTCACCTTGACTTTCCTCGTACGGCATGCATCGCAAGCTGCCGAAGTACGCTGCCGAACGCGCTCTTCCCGTTCCGGTCGTTCTTCCATGTCGTGAGTGTTGACTGAAGCGCAGAGAACCTGGACGCCGCAAAAACTGACGGAAAAATGATGCATTAGCGCCAGGCTAACGCTAGTCCCAAGTATCGATTCATCACCCATGTGTCTTCTCCGCACTATCACTCCACTTCCCCATGGCACTGGATGCAGGCATACCGACGATTTGGTCGAGACCACGAGGTGTGTCAGGCCGCTTCGTTCAGGGTATATATATGCGTAGAGATATGCACTATTGAAGCAGAAGCATCGAAGTTTTATCGACAAGAAACCGCCTCTCACTTCGACCGCAATGGACAGCAAACAGGATATCGGAGTTGATCATCGAGAGGATGTTGATCACCACGGCCAACCAGAAGAAGACATGCGGCCGTGGTACCATCAGCCCGAACTGCGAAAGCTGTACTTGCTGATGCCATTTTTGTTCCTCGGTTCTACTACCCTAGGGTACGATGGCAGTCTCCTCAATGGTCTACAGACTATGCCAGCATGGAAAGAGTGTATGTCCCTGCTCTCCTACATCTCATGCTAATTGCCGAGAACTGACATTACTGTTAACAGTTTTCCATCACCCCACAGGATCACGTCTCGGCCTCCTGGGTGCATTCCCGGGATTCGGCGGCTTCGCAGTTCTCCTATTTACACCCTACATCGCCGACATGATGGGACGCAGGCTAGGAACAGCGATCGGTTGCCTCCTAGTCATTATGGGCTCGATCATCCAAGCCTTTCCACGCAAAGATAACCCAGACGCCATGTTTCTGGCCGGCAGATTCATCATGGGGATGGGTAGCAACATTTCGAATGCGACATGCCCACTTCTGATTACTGAGGTTGCGCATCCGCGACATCGAGGTAGGGTAACGACCGTATACAATACCCTGTGGTATCTAGGTGCTATCATCGCGGCGTGGACGACGTACGGTACCTTGACTCACATCTCTTCCGATCTATCGTGGCGTCTTCCGGTCGGACTTCAGTGCGCCATGCCTGGGATTCAGCTTCTTTCCCTATACCTTCTTCCGGAAGTGAGTCAGGCTGCATACGCATGCAGAATATATGCTAACCTCGTGTCAGTCGCCGCGTTGGCTAGTCAGCAAGAATAAGCACTCTGCCGCTAAGAAGATACTCACAAAATATCACGGGAATGGAGCCGAGACCGACTTTGTAAATTGGGAATACAACGAGATAAGTCTAACTCTGGAGGCTGAGAAGGCCGCGAGTGCCTCCAGTGGGTGGTACGAATTAGTCCGGACCCCTGGCAATCGGAAGCGCTGCTTGCTGATCATCCTCACTGCCATCTTCTCGCAATGCTCGGGCAACGGGCTTGTGAGCTACTACCTCGCAGCGGTCCTTCAGACTATCGGCATAACCAACTCCTCCGATCAAGCGCTCATCAATGGTGGTCTAACAATCTGGTGTTGGCTCGTTTCTCTCGGATGCGCTTTCCTTGTTGATCGAGTGGGGCGACGAACACTTTTCTTGAGTGCCGGTATCGGTATGCTTATCGCCTTCACCATCTGGACCGCATGCAGCGCGGTGTACGCGCAGACTGGAAACTCAAGTGCTGGTTCCGCAGTTCTCGCAATGATCTTCCTCTTCTATGGGGGTAAGTTGCCTTCTCTTCTCCCCTGTCGCATATTGTACCACCTAAATGAACCAACTAATGCAATCACAGCCGCCGGTATCGCCTGGCCTGGCCTAACAGTTTCCTACACCGTCGAAATCCTCCCTTTCAATATCCGCGCCAAAGGCCTCACACTTTGTTTCGTGTTTACGTCGCTGGCCGGTATTTTCAACCAGTACGTGAACCCAATTGGTATTGAAGCATTAGGCTGGAAGTTCTATATCGTATACGTTGTGGTGTTGGTATTGGAGTGCTTGGCCATCTACTTCCTGTACGTCGAGACGAAAGGTCCGGCTTTGGAAGAGATCGCGTTGCTATTCGATGGTGATAGTGCTAATGTCGCGGGGACCAACCTTGCATTAGACCAGAACGGAGGATTGAAAGAGCTCAAGCATGGAGAGTAATGGCTATGTTCGTTATCGATATGGATATAGGATCGGTTGGACTACAGCGAATCAAAACGATGTTCAGCGTGAGCAAGTGTAAAACCACTTCCCATCCTATGGTGACTTCAAACGACTATGTAGTACTCTCGATGAAGCAACTCTCACGATGTCCTGTAGCTTGGCGGGTAACCGAGAGCACTGCCTTTGTCAAAGGTATTGTGAACGCTTGGATAAAGTCGAGATGATACCCAGAGACCCGTATCGAGGCATAGCGAAAGCCAGATGCCGTCCACGGTCACGGGTCTAGCAGTAAAAGGCTCATGTTTGTCCTCTTCCGATCAAGGTCATGGTCCCATATTTGAGTGATGGTCGTCTTGTTGCAATGTTGTGGTGATTACGATTGTCTTATTGTCTGTCGCCAGCTCTTCTTGGCTGCTTCGTGTGTCATTCCAGTATGTGTCGTGCCTGAGCTCTCTTTCGCGACCAGCGCCAAATTTCATTGAGTTCATCTTGATCGTTTCTCGATGGTTACCGTTGGTACTGAATTGACTCTGGTTGTGTCGAACGTAACCGTTCGTATCGTACGAGATGTGAGGTGTGTGAGACGATCGGTACAGGATGGCAAAGGCTGGACAGCAACCAATACAGATGGCGATAGCATTCTCCACTATAGTCCAAAGAGCCAGCCATGTCGGACTTGGGGCAGTGCTGTTTTCCGATTTGATGCCGATCTGGACCACGCGTAAGGTAGCAAAAGCCATGCATACAATGCCAGATGCGAACAATGCAATCACCGCTACTTTCTGTACGCGCGCCATCTGAAGGTTCCAGACTAGTTTTATAGGTAAAGCCATTACTGATAATGTCAGGAGCTTGCTCATAAATTGTGTTGTGTTTGCTGGCTTACTCATAAGATCTGACAACATATCCACCGCATATGCTGTATAGAGACTGGCAAGAGAACCGCGAGTGGTCCGGGGGCCTAGAGGGCAATCTCCTCTACTCATTGCCGCTCCAAAGTCGGGGCAAGATGTGGTATAAGATACTATGCAACCGATTAAGGTCTATGAAATTCGGTGAGTAGGTGTACGAGGTTTCAGATCGATTGGACTTACGATGACGCAAAATACCAAGACCGCTGACCAAAGTCTCATGTACACTATTGGCAGGCCCTCCAGCAACGTCCTGTATAATGACAGGAAAGACAGTTTGACCAACCACAGTGAGATCCAAAATAATGTCGTAGTAACGAACATCATTCGGACGTATGTGATCATATCGGCTTGGAAGGTCGGCCCAGGCTCTAACACGCCTACAGAGACCCTTGCAATCATGAACACCTTGGAAAAGATGACGAGATAGCAGATCGTGGTGGCGAGGAAAAGAATAAAGGCAGCGTACAGTAGAAAGTCTTGTGCTTCAAGCTTTCTTCGCATGCATACCTGTACACCAGAGCGCGCAAGAACGAAGAGTGAAGCCAGGATAATCATACTGTAGACAACACCGGAGAGCTGACTTTCCGATATCATCTCCTGATACTGCGACTTTGCGTATTCTTCAGACGACATTGTGAAGTTTTGCTGTAAAATGAATGAAAATAGGTAGGGGGCTCTGCTGGAGCATGGAAATGCGAAAACTGATGTCCTAGTAAATTGCGCCTGCGAATATAAAGTGTTCAATGCGAGGGAAAATGCGCAATTCGTAATGGATACCAACAACCTTTGACATCCTTCTGTTCCTCCCTGCTCATTACCAGGCTTTGCACATTCAGTGGCACAGCTCTTCTACGTTGTTGTCGCAGCTCCAAGCAGCACTGGCGGCTCGGTGGAGAGTACATTTGCGGGATCCCTGTTATACGTGATAGTTTAGGCGATGCAGCCGCTGCCACGGAGCGACTTGATTCGCTACCCATGAGATGGAATGCGATATTTGTTCGCATATTGTGTTGATGTCGATCTGAACATCCATTTCCGTCTGTCCAGATCTACCAGCGATGCCATGTTCAATTTCATCTGATTTCAAGAAATCCAAGAGCTCGACTGTTTTCTATCTTCGATGCTAGATTCTTCGATTTTTTTTAAAGAAAGGTGTGCTCCTAAGGTCGCTCGAATTGCGTCCCATGTATGTGTAGGCGCCGGAGTAATCCTTCGGCTGGACTCCCTTGCAGATAAGAGCGAGGCTGCAGGACGGGAGAAAGCGCCACTTGCCTGAACCTCAGAACCTCGGAATACCCAAGCTTGGCATCCTATGTGGGGCATCGGGCCCGGGTGCGGCTTTGGCCGCGGCTTCGGTCTTTCCACTCCCCGCTAACTAAACACCGACAACGTTTCTATGTTTCCTATGACTATTGCTGATGCGCTCCAATGAGCATATCGTTCATATTCACCCTTTTGGAATTTCGGATTCGATGGTGCACTCGAAGCTTTGATCGCCACTGGTGCCAGACCCGCATATGCGGTCCCTGCAGCTGGTAGGATTGCGGCGTAGTGATGTACATGGCACAATGGCCTCTGATTCCTTGGAAATCCGGCAAATACAGCAAGCGCCACTCGGCGTTTATTCGAAAGACCGTCTTGGATTTCTCTCCTCACGAGAAGTAGGTCATTGTTATCGTCATCATCGTGATTGAACTTACAGCTCAATCAAACACCTAAGGCCATATGCTCTGAACTCTTTTCCTCAAAGCGGTGGAGCTCTGTGTGGCGAGAACACTGTTCAAGTTCTAAATGCGACATGGAATTCTGCGAAATGCCTGCAGGCTCGCTTCTGACATTCTAACACGATACGGAAGGTGCGTACATTGCATGCATCCCCCCTTAATTACTATGCACGGCCATCTAGCCCGTCAGAGAGTAGTTTGTCTAGCAGCACAACGTTCCTGCTCCACCGTTACTCGATGGCGGCTTTTTACACAACTGTTCGTAGCTGCGATCCGGTGTCCGGATTACACCCGTCTCCGCGGATGCCTTCTCGACATGTCCATAAAAGGATGTGATACCTCGGTGCCGGGTCTCATCCAGCATTATTCCAGGACTTGCTCAAGATTGCACGGGAAATTCCGTTGTTTCCCGTACATCACTTATCTGTTCGCGCTTCTGTCCTTGACATTGGCTTGTATCGCCGCGCCAATATCGCTCGGCCTGGAAGGAATATGAAGACCGTTGTTTCTCTTGCCGCCTTTGCGGTTGGCGCCCTATCACAAGCCACGTTCGAGCCAGCTGATTTCAACATCACTGAAGCTCTCTTGAAGAACGGTGTGAATATATCAGCCATACCCGAGCTAGCGTCGTTTGCAGAACGATCTTTATCGAGTGGTTGTTCAGCAGCCGTAAGTCCCTATACTTGTTGGTTTGCCGTACTGCTTACGCCGAGACTGATCCTTTCTTAGTGCACGTCTCTGAAGTTAATCTTCGGCGACGGTCAAGTCGAAACGCAGTCCGAATCTGCGTACACTGCATTCCTCGACGATTTTTGGTCTGCCCAGCAGGCGGAGATCTCGCCCCAATGTGTATTCAAACCAGAAAAGGCTCTAGATGTATCCACCTCAATACTCCTATCTCGACTTACACAATGTCCATTTGCGGCGAAGAGTGGAGGGCATTCTGCCGTACCTGGAGGTTCAAATATCGAGGGCGGTATCACCATCAGCTTCGAAAGGATGAACAAGACCACACCCTCTGATGACAGAAAGAGTGTATCGTTCCAGCCCGGACAAACTTGGTACGATGTATATACCAAGTTGGAACAATATCAGCTCACCATTATTGGCGGTCGAGTAAGCAGTACTTCGAAAGACTGACTGATGAGCTTGCTAACACAACTCCAGGTTTCTGGTGTCGGTGTCGGCGGACTGACTCTTGGTGGAGGTGAGAGCATTATATGCTAGTTCTTGCGTGACAAGTTTACTTATCCGTGCAATAGGTATCTCGTACTTCTCCAGCGTTTACGGATTGTCGTGCGACAACGTTATCTCCTTCGAGTTGGTCACGGCAACTGGAGTCATCATCACTGTCAGCAAGACCTCATACCCCGACCTCTTCTGGGCTCTCCGAGGCGGTGGAAACAACTTTGGACTTGTTACACAGTTCAACGTCAATGCTCTACCGAGAGCTGATACTATGTGGGGCGGATCGCGGACGTACCTCGAGAGCGAATGGCCTGCATTACTTGAAGCCTATATCAATCTCGGCAAGCAAGCCAATCAAGACGGAAAAGCACACCAAATCCTGTCATTCGTCAACTACTCAGGTTCAGACCCGATCGCACTGGTCGAACTGGAGTACGCTGACCCTGTTACAAATGCAACCATCCTGGAGGAATACAATACTATTGAAGGTGCCATTGCCGACACGACAGCTGTAAGAAGCCTCGCGGAGCTTACTACACTGATCGACGGCAATGGGGAATATAATGGGAAGCGTCAAGCTTTCTGGACCTGGACGACCAAGCTCGATCTCGAAATGGCTACTCTGACTAAAGACATCTTCTACGAGGAAATCGCAAGTGTTAAAGACGTGGCAGATTTTGTAGGCGCTGTTTCTCTCCAGGTCATTACCGACCCGATACTGGAGAAGACGAAATTGAATGGTGGCAATGCTCTCGGACTGGATCCTAAGGACGGCCCCCTTGCGCTTTTCCTGGTATCTCCAAGCTGGTCCAATAGCGCGGACGACGAGACGGTCAACCAGTTTGCCGCGCGTGTCATGGATCGTTGTGTAGAGGCTGCAAAGGCTGCTGGTAAACTGAACGATTACCTGTACATGAATTACGCCAGTCCGTACCAGAATCCTATTGGTGGATACGGTGCAGCCAACCAAGCTAGGTTGAACACCATATCGAAGAAGTATGACCCTACTGGTGTGTTCCAGACCCTTCAACCGGGCTACTTCAAGCTTGATGGTACTGCGCCATTGGGCCAGTTGTAAGTAAGATAGATTAACAACTGTTAGACATGGTAGTCAGACTCGGTTGTTCCATGTCAATAATATCATAAATCACTACCGTGTTGCCCATTGCCTATGGTAGAGGAAACACGCCGATCTGAGTCTTCGCGGTGAACTTGAGGTATAGGAAGGGCTTCAAATTATGTCGAATCGTTTTTCGATAATGTGGAAGATCTAGGAGTCAGTGTATCCGTGGTTCTGGACTTCACGGAAGACGATGAAGGTTTCGGTGTCTTCGGGGTTGTCGTTGTAGATGTATTTGTGCTGTTGATGTCTCCACATTTTGGGGTTGTTTTATCGTAGGTAACATGATTCTGGAATAAGTGCAGGAGACTTGGGACCAGCTTTCAAGCTGTTAGCTGGAGTAAATAAGTGGATTTGAGGTGTCGTCCTGCTGTCAAGTACTTGTAGTGCGATTTTCTCTTTCAATTCTTCTTACTTGCGGCAAAGATGCAAACGCTATTTCACCAAAGTATTATAGACACATGTATTGCTCTAATGCATGCGCTCTGTTCTTATTCCATGATCGCTTTCTCATACACAGGGACACCATTTCACTGCACCTCCTCACCCAAGCATACTCCTCTTCCTTCCCCTCAATCTTACCCCTTCCAGCCTCTTCAAAACCCCCTTAGCACCCTTTCCACACTCACCGTAAGCCTTCAGCACTTCTTGAAACAGTGGCTCAGCAGCTGGATGCGTTGCTGAAAATGCCCTTTCAAGGACATAAAGATCAACAGCTTTGTCTTCATCTTGTATGCTGGCAGTTGTGAGGCCGAAGTCGATGAGGAATATGTCGCCGACCAGTGAAGTGGTAGGATCGGACTGTTGCGGAGGGTTGGCGGGCGGAAGGTCTGAAGGTTCTTCGCCGCGCATCGCTGCTTCGCGGAGACTACTTGTTGTTTGACGTCCCTGTGGTTTTTGCTGCTGCTCTTCTGTCTCCGTGTTTTGTGGTTTCGGTGTCCGTAGCATGATATTGCTGGTTGTGAGATCCCCGTGACATACCCCGAGTTCGTGCAGCTTTCCTACTTCCCGCCCTACTCTTCGCATTAGGTCGAGTATTTCAGCTTCTTCTTCTTTCGGCGCTTCGTTGGCCCCCTTGTCTACTCCTTCCGTGGCTTTTTCGTCCTTCTTGCGCTGTGTTACTTGATGCGCCCAGCCATCTAGTACTTTCCTCACAGTCCTACCATCTACATATTCCAGCACTAACCACCCCGCATCCCAATCCGCGCCAATCACACCTGGTACGTTGACGCCATCTCTCTTGACCCTGATCAGACTCCTAGCCTCGGCCAATAACCTCTGTTTTGTAAGACGCTTGTCTAGAGTAGGATGTCTGTACGGCTTTGGTGGTCGGTATTTGACTACGACGGGCGTACTCGGCGTGAGGAAGGTGGTTTTGTATACAAGAGCCTCGGCACCTTGTGTTATGGTCTCGAGAGCGTCGTGAGAGAAGGGTGGAGGGAGAGTATGGAGAGGACGCGACGTCTCTGGTGGTGGTGGGGGTTCGATTGGAGGAACGACCGGAGGTTCAGCCATTGCGGGTCGTGTTGTTATGTGTAGGCTGTCGCAACTCTGCAATCGTGCATGTACCCAGAGAGCGGTGCGACAGGTATATCAAAGGCGTGGATGAGTTCGGAACGCGCAGTGTGTGTGGGGGGGAATTTTGGTATTGACAATTGAAGCTTCGCACTTGCCCCGCGATGCGACACCAACCATCAGCCTTACGACGCTTATCGATTCTTTAGCCTCAACACCACGCGAGCATCATGTCGATCACCGTTGAACGCCTTTGGAGGCACTAGAGTACCGAGATTAGCTATTACCCTGATAGAGTTCTCGCTGAGCACAGATGGAGATCAAATCTCCGGATTTACAAACTCGACTCATGATTTTGCTAGCTGATTCGCAGGCACACATGGTCTGTTGCGAAGCGTCATGTATCCGTTGCTGGCAAAAGCTACCCCAAACCGTATAATGATGGCCTCACTTCACAATCAGATTGAAGCATATTTCGAAAGCGAGTGTGGTTGCATTTAGGTATCTCATCCTACATGATTCACTCTTCTCTTTGCATCGCCTTGCCGCCCAGGCCGCAGCGGTAGGGAACGGATTGGTCAAAAGCACACTATCTCCAACAAACAATGGTAACACAAAACAGAAGCCCAAAGAAGGCAATGAGCTCTAGCCACAGGCAATCGAGCTCACGTCCATGAAGCATATCCCAACTCGCCCGTCCAAATCGCCGGGCCAAAAACCATAGAGCCTTCCCACCGTGCTCATTAAAAGCAGTTCGCATAAGAGTCTGGGAAACAAGAAGGGGTGGAAAAGAAGATCTTCCCAATAGGTAAGAGACGAAGGGTAATCGTGATATTCGAAAGATGGCAAAAGTGACCTTAGTCAAGTGCAAAAAACAAATGAACTAACAAGCAAGGAAAGGTTCGTAATGGGCCGTAACAGAAGGCGTCTGAAGAGCGCCACAGTAATATGCACAAGGGAATGAATTTCCCGGTTTTTCTTTCCAATCCATGGTTGAAAGCCTAGAACACAGTGCTCTTGCGCTTCTCAGCGCTGGTGAGAACAAGCTTGGGCATGCCTCGGCGTTGGCCGTTCTCCTCGGGACGGATGTCGACCAGACCGCCTCCGATGGAAGCACCGTCATCGCTGCTAACGCTGTTGGCAGTGTAGGAGCGGTTGATGGAGTTGTCGCGGGATCGCTCCTTGGAAGCCTTGCGCTCCGATCCAATGGCGCCATTGGCAACAGCACGAAGGCTACCGATGCTCGGCCTTCCCGAAAGGCTACCGCTTCCACCGCTGCGAACGCTGTCCGAGTCATTGTCAGATGAAGGGAAGTGGTCGCTGTCAGGTGAGGCGCTTCCGCTGCTAGTGCGGTGAGCACGACGGCCAATGCCAGCTCGCACAAGGTTGCCCACAGCCTGGCGACGTTGACGAGTAGCAAAGTTCTTGCTACCCTCATGCTTGGTAGTGGGGCGCTCCTTGAGTTCCTCGATGGAGGGAGGGTTGCGAGGCTGACGCACTGGGTGCTCTCCAGCACGTGCTTGACCAGGGCCGAATGTACCTGTCATCGGGGTAGCAGGGAAGCCAACAGGGCGAGCAAGGGCAGAACGAGGTCCCTCTTCAGCCTTGCCGTCAACAGCAAGAGAAGACAAGTTCTTCTTGTGTCCTCGACGGAAAGCGTTAGCAGATGGTGGGGGGAGCGGTACAACATCCTGAGGGGGAGTGTTGGACTTCTTTGGCGGAGACGTGCTGCGCGAACCCCACGGGCTGGGGTTGCTCTCGTTAGGAGGAGACACATGGAGTACCGGAGTGTCAACCTTGGGCGGCGATGGAGCGAAGCGAGGAGTTGGCGGAGGAGGCGAGTGCGACAAGCCCGACATACCGTTCTGAGCCTGCATGTCGCCGTTGTCTTGCTGGTAGCTCGGGTCCACAACATACTGGTACTGGCCAGTCATCTGGTTGAAGACTAGGTAGACGCCGGGCTGGTTGGTCTCCTGGATGGCAGCTGTGTTTCCAAACTGCTGACCATATGCGTTCATCTGGGGGGTGTATGGCGTGTTGGGGTACTGCTGTCCACCGCTCATGTTCATGTTGCCGAACTGCTGGGTTGTCAGAGCAAGGAGTTGCTGCTGGAGCTGCTGCTGCCTCTGGGCGAGGTAAAGCTCGGTAGCCAACAGCTGAGCCGCAACATTGGGATCCATCTCGCCGTCATCGAACTCGAATTGGGGAGGGGCGAGGACCTGGTTGTAAAAGTCGGGCTGCTGTTGCTGCTGCTGCTGTTGCTGGTACTGGTTCACACCGCTGAATCCAGAGCCGATGGCAGTCTGAGGGCCCTGGTTTGCACCGTTGAACTGCCTCGAGGAGCGGTTGACATTGTTGCTGCCAACGTTGTGCTGGCGCTGCGAATAAGGAGCCGAGGCAGGGGGTTGGGCAGACGTGGGCGTCTTGGGGGCGGTGCGGAGGCCGGCCAGAAGATGGGAGCGGCTGGTGCGAGGAGTCGCAACCGAGTCCTCGGCGATGGAAGCAACCTTGGGCGGCGAAGCGACGCTGAGACGCTTAAGCTGAGCACCCTTGCCACGAGACGCAAAGCTCGAGGTGGGGCCGCCGAAGCCGCCCTGGGATTGGAAGTTGTTGTAGGTCATTTGAGCAAGACCGCCAGCGTCCATGCTCATTGTGGTGGTCTAAGAAGAGTTGCGAAGAAAGGGTAAGAGTGCAACAAGGAGTATGCTGAGCGCACACGGGAAAGATACAGAATCGAAGAAGGCCGGAAGAGGGAGTGCTGGCGCAGACAGAAAGCCGAAGACGTTTGCTGCAAGGCAGAAGTGCGGATTGGCTGGCGATTACGGGATTAAGGATCGTACAGATCGGGGTTGTAAGGTAGAGTTGTTATCGAAAACCGGCCGACGGGCAATGTAGTTGGAGCTATTAACAAGTTCTTGGGTCGCTAGGTCGTTGAGGGTTCTGCTATCGGAAGGATCGAGTGGTTACAGCGGGAAGGCGCGGTCCAACGGACAGAGACGCGAAGCAGACGGGCGAAGATAATTTTATGAAGTTGAATACACGAACAGGCAGTGACGAGATCAAGGGCAGACAAGCTGGTGGTTGATGCGTCGGCTGGCGAGCTCTTCTTCTCTCGGAGGAGCGACGGGACTGGCGCGCTCGCACAATCTCAGATTAGGCGGGGGATAAGCTGGTCCAACTGGGGGAGCAGGTAGAAGATGCAGAAGCGGCACTGTGTTGTCGAAGAGAGCGAAGGGAGAGAGGTAGAGAGGAAAGGGCGAGTTGGAGGGGCCAGGAGAGAAAAGTGACGAGCAGCGGAGGAGCAGAGAGCCATGGACGAATGCGAGCGCTATAAGTGACGGGGACCTGTGGCAGCGACCCTGCATCGAGCCTAGCCCAATGCAGCCCCCCTGGACACGCTGCAGACCTGGACGCACGCTTGAAACGCTGGGCCTGATGCGTAATAACTGAGCTTGGGCCGTTCCTGCGTGCGAATGCCCTTGTGTGAAAGGGCTCGCTTTGATGCGTAGACGATGCCATGCGTAGAGTTGAGTGCTGCCACTGTATACAAAGCGTTCGGTGTCCTCTTGGGTTTCAGGTGCTGAGGATGAACGGGATGGTCGCTCCTGCCGCACCTGGCGAGGGCCCTGGAGCGCTCCTGCCCGACGCCACGACCGTCCCCTTCCTCGCAGCCCACAGTGCCTTCCTTCGCAGCGGGCCCAGCATGGCAAGAGCGACTGGCAAACAGAACCACCGAAACAGCG